ATCAACAAATTTTTTGAAACGAGCTAATCGGGATTTAATACCCTTTTTAGAGTTTTTTAGGCTGGCTAAATCTGCCATTTTATTTATTTTTAAATCACACAAGTAAAAACAAGTGAAAATTCAGGAAAAATCAAAGGTTGAATAAAAGAATTATTTTAGTAGGAAGATGGAACGCACTCACTTGATCCCAAATTCTTCTCTACACCATTCCATAGTCGTCTTCTTTCGTCGCGTTAACCTTCAAGGACTTGTTTGCATGAAAGTCGGACACCGAAGAACAAAATAGCCAATTTTGGGCTTAAATCCTGCGTCGAAGGACCAAATATGTTGTGTCTTATTTACTAAAACACGTGAGGTTATTTGATGGATTGCTTTTAATTTTCAAAATACATTAAAATGCGAAAATTTTGAGTAAATAGTATAAGAGCACAAAAATAAATGTGTTGAATTGTTGAATCGTCGTGTGCTTCTCTCTTGTTCTGTCTTCTTTCTGTCAGTTCTGAGGAGGAGGTGCGCCATGTTGCCAGATCGATTTCTATGCGCGTGAACACTCGTAAGACGAACTTTATACAGCGTCTGGTCTAAAATTGAAACCCCTTCCAGCATAGACCACGAGTCATCATTGCTCTAAACCCCCCCATATAAAAGCTATAGCTACGTCGTTGGGTCTCACTATCAGCATCATATCGATACAAGATTCCTTCGGTCAAAATTTAACCGCAGTCAGTCCATCTTTTAAATTCCACTGATCAGTCTTGGTAAGTTCTGGATAAGGCCGTGTTCATGTTGGAGCTGTGATAAACGATAAAAGCAACGATACTAATGATATTTTACATTAGTATCGTTGCTTTTATCGTGTATCACAGCTCCAACATAAACACGACCTAATACAATCAAATCGTCTACTATATGTCCACATATAAGCTAATATTATAGTCAAATCTTCAAATACTGATTCAAATCGATCAATGACTCTTTGGAAAGTCGAGGGTGCATTTTTATCCCGAATGTCATCCTGGTATAACGAAATATCCGAAATGGAAAAATAAATGCTGTTATATCTCGATCAGTTTCGCGTACAGAGACTTGATGGTATCCTGATTTTAACTCAAGCGTGGTCATGTACTTTGTTTAGCATTGTGTAAAAAATAGATCATCAATTCGAGGAAGTGGAAATTTATTGGAAACTGTTTTCTCATTGAGAATTCGAACGATGCTTGAAATTGAAACATCCACTTGTTTCTCTGTTCTCCAGATGTTATAAGGAACATTTATAACGACAGCAATTGTATTATATATTTACATGCTTATTTATTACAAATGGATCAGTCAATATAGCTATTATTTGTGATGGAGTCCGAGAGGATGTTGCCATTATTGCAACAGGAATTCCCAGCCTGGCTCCCGTCTGTATCATAGAAACCAAACAGCAATACGAGTGGAACATAGCAGTTTAACCAGCTAAGCCAGAGCTGTCTAAAGCTACATTCGTAATCAATTCGCTGGCCGAGTGGCACTTTGGCACGCAAGCTAATCATATCGGGTCTTCAAAAAAAAAAACAATCAAAGATTGCTTTGATTATGAAAACGTACGTCGCATTAATGATTCATAAGGTCTGTTCGCAGAGAAATCACAAACCAGTCAGAGTGAATCTCATTGGTTGAAACTAGTTTTCTGACTGTTTCTGATTGTTTTCAACCAATGAAATGCGCTCTGACTGGTTTGTGATTGCTGTGCGAACAGGCCTATTATTGGTCAGGATTTTTGACATGACATTTTGACATTAAAGTTCATTGACAAAATTAAAGGAATGCTAAGACATACGTTAAAAAAACCATAGCAATCTTTGATTGTTTTTTTTTTTGAAGACCCGATATGTATGTCAATGTGATCATTCATAACGAAATTCGACGCCAGAGTGCAAGTACTGCAAGTGAAGTGGGCATACATTTTCTTGCAAGCTGCAAACTTCCACTTCGACTCGCGCTTTTTCGTGCTGACCATGGAACATGTTGACATTTTTTTATTATTTTATTTGTTCAATGTTCAATCATTTCGTTTTGTTGTGATGTGAATTGTGGTCTTCCCTGAAATATTCAAATTATTGAAAGAAAAATGAGTGAAAAGGACGTTATTCTTATTTTACTCACATTACCATTATGAATGGTAAATTTCGTGCCGACTTCAATGCCAAAGAACCACTTGGCCAGCGAATTGATTACGAATGTAGCTTCACTCGATAAACATGACAAGCCCACACATATTCAATATTCACAATTTCAGCCAGCATCAGGGTCAGTAATTGGGCACTCAGATGATATTATAGACTCACTAATGACAGAAGAGAAATCAATTCAGATTAAATTTCAAAACCATATGGAGAGATATACGACATCATTTTAGCATAGCCTCAGTGACAACTACCATTGCAGCAATCGTGTTAGTTATGGGTGTCTGGATAGGCATCAAATATCTAAGATTTCGAACCAGAGAAAAAAAGACCATTAAAATGCTCTACAACTATTTATGTCAAAATAAGTCCTGCTAGACGGACGCATAGTGCTTCAAATTCGTATTAAAGAACGTACTACATTGCGCCTTTTTAGTACTGCCGGCAGGACGCTGTGCAATCTATGATTATTGTATATAAAAGGCGATCAATTTCATCAATAAAATCAGATTCAAACTTATTGTTGTTTCTCTTATTTCAAATTGTGCCCAAGTCGTGAGACTGCGCTCTATAACAATTACTTTTGCTTTAGTCTCCTTATTGTAGCAGGTGCTCTGTCTGGTTACATTCGGCTCTTCCTTAAACCTTGTAGCAAGTGCTTGGTCTGGTTACAGGTTTTTAACTTAACGGCCGTGACTTAACCCTCATAGCAAGTGCTTTGTCTGGCTGAGATCTTCTTTCCAACTTATAACAAGTGCTTTATTAGTCTGTTTGTAAGTTACCTACCTGTCTTACGCCCTGGTACAATTGCCGTGACTTCAAGTCCTGTCTGGTACTGAGGCCCTTCTGCTCTCCTATGCTAAACCATCAGGATCAAGCAGAAAATACCATCCAAAGAAAGAAAGTCTCCTGAAGTCCAGTCTTGTCTTGGTCTTGGTCTTGGAACATTCAGACCGATACCAAGACCAAGACCAAAACTGGGCTTGATCTGCCGGGTTTGCGAAGTTCTATTATTTTTGCTATACCATATGTAAATCTGTCGACATTGCATTTGAGGGTTTCGTACAAAAACTTTTCACTTTCTGTCGAATAAATTTTACCATTGGAGATCTTTAAACGAAAAGAATAGATTAAGCTTTTATCATATGTTTAGAATTGCAGGCGGCCTCTTGACTTTTTTCAGGTAGTTCTTCAACTGATCTACGTGAACGTCACAATTTCTTCTTCTGATCATAGCCCCTTGAAATTTATCATCGTCGGCAAATTGATATCCTATTCTTCTTTTTGATGATCCAAAAGGACAGGCTCTACATAGAATCATAGAATCAATCGAAATTTGTTGGAAGATTTAGACAAGGTTTTATTGAAACTCGGAAAAATTGAAAAATCGCAATTTATTACTGGATGAACTCATTACATTTTTTCCCATGAGGTAAACAAATATGGGGGCTATGCGGCTTAGGTAGGGGGTAAAATACGTTTTTGTCTACTGATGACGCAAAGCCCGCTTCTAGGTAGAAGCTTTTCTGAGCGAATCGATAATCTCCGAACGATGAGCACATGTAAATTGCAATAGATCATCGGACACTGTCAACACTGAGTAGAAAGACCTTAGAGCAGGTAAAGGTAAAGGAGTAGTAACATATGGAGTGGGAAAATGAAGCCGTTTTTTTCCAGGTATTTAGGCACAAAAAAAATGGCGATATAGGCGATGCCTCCGATGCAATGCTTTACCTGTCATTTGGTGCCAAACACCTGCCAATAACTGGCTTCCCTTTCGTTTCATAGCAGAATGGCCCGTTCCTACTCCTTATGTCCATAGGACAGCGCTTTACCTGCTCTAAGAGAAAGAAGAAGAAGAACCAAATAGTGTTTTCTTTAAGTGACATCTTCTTTACTACATGCGCAAGGCATGAATAGCTTTTTCGTTTAACATACCATGCGTTACCGGATCTGAACTGAGATCCGATTTAACAAGAAGAGACTCTGAATAGCAGTTTTTAATCATCGCCATCAACTTTCAAACTGGTGGAAACTTGCAAAGCTTGTAATTCCTTTTTCGAACATCCTTGAAGGTACATAAATATATTCTAGTTTATCAGTAAGTAGGTACCCGACTTTTAACTTAATACTCAGTGATGGATCAGGCAATGCAATCATAATATAAATTCAACATCAAGATATTCTGGTTTACATCTCTGTAAGAGCAGCTAGATTAGCTTGAGCCACTTCTGTGATCTGTATCATCATGAAACCACTTTGTGATTCCGCAACCGCTCAATCCTCCAACAATCTGATGCGGTAAGAGAGGTGATCATCTTTTCCATTTTCTCTTCCAACTTAAGGCATCCACTGTGACCAAGAGACGAAAGTCTTCTCTATAATGTTTTTTTTTTCTTTGACCAGAATCAAATTCGTCACTGAACTCATAATTAGTGCCATGCAAAAGTTCTAATTTAATCAAGTAATCCTATATAATCTCTAAACATCTTTTCCGAGAGATAGACTTTGCTTTGAGACTAAAAGCAGAATTTGAAAATCAATGACTTCGACGAGGACTTCGATATATTCACAAGTTTCCAGCTGCTCCACCCTTTTGCAAAAATGTTCAATAACCGAAACTTTGATCCAATCCAAAACATCGGAGTTTTCGTGAAACAACGCTGGTTCGCATTCACACCAGAAAAGAGCTGCTAACATAGGCGGCAGAAAGTTGAAAAGAGACTGGTAAATTTGGCGTTAAGCCGTTAAAGCCCGAAATAAACGGCAGCAAATAATCTTCTGGGGGTCAAGCCGAAGGCACAGACTATATAATAGATTTTTTTGTAGGTATAATTGAATACACAAAATCGAGAAATGGCGACTGTGTCACCGAGACAATGCGAATTTTGGGAAACCTATCACGATCAAAAATAACGAGAAATTATATTACAAAATCAGAAATTTTTGAGACCCTTACTGGTCTCCTAGACATGATGGGTAAGTTTTACAAATAAGATATAGTATCATTTTAATAAATAATTGATATTTTGTTTTAGCCGAACCTACACTACTAAAAACAACGATTGGCGTTTTCGTAAATCTAATGTCCGATACTAGAGCAAGAAAATTATTCAAAGCTAGCGGAGGGGTTTCAAAATTGGTATCTATCTTGATTAAATACTGCGAAAATGACTGGCTTTTGGGAAGTCTGGTTTGTCAAGTACTGTGGAACTACTGCATAGATACTGTTGATTTGTATGAATTACTAAGTGATGAGGAAATACATCAGTTGCTGGTACTTTTGGCTGATTATTTAGGTAAATGAATGAACAAAAGCAAATAAGATTGGATAATATTATTCAATCCAACATTAAAATGACATCCTATACTGTTATTCAGGTGGATATCATATTATAACAGTTGGGTTTTCACTTTTTTCTTTAAATGAGAGTTTCTAACTATCATATTGTCTTAGATAAGCTGCGGACATAACAAAATTGAATTTTGAATTTGTTATAGATGAAGAAAAACTTTTTGGTATCGACGAACACACGGAAGAAATGGAGGTGTTTGTTACGCAAGAGTACCTTATTTGGGAAGAGTTCGCTAATGTGGCTACAAACCTTTTGGAGAAAATTGAATATTTTTTGGACACATTCGATCAAATCAACGATGAAAACGGTGCCCAAGCTCAAGCTAAGACCAAAGAATCTGGCACAAATATTAGTTTTTCAGCTTGGTAAAATCATAACTATTGTAGTTTAAAAGTTGGAATAGAAACAGGTAGTCTAGAACTAATGTTAGTATACAATGAGTATTTAGTAGACCAAAATTTTTTAAACCATCAAAGTTACTCTAGGACTTATAAGGGTACTTTTATATAAAATACTGATTTCAACAACCCAAGATGCATGAACAAGTAATTAATTTGAATAAATACAAAATATAAGACAAATCAAATATATTTGGAATTTTGGTCTACCCAGTACCTACTATTTTTGACCAATACTTGTAGAAATAGTTGTAATATACTCAATTCATAAAATTCACAAATTAATTTAGTCTCTAGAATCTAGATTAGTCGTTGAGCAATAAATATTGTTGTTATCCTATTTAATTAATTTATCAATAATAAAAGTTACTTCAGAAAAGGGTTGTGTTTATTTATAATTTCTAAAAACTTAAAGAGTAAATCTTGGATTCATGCAATATATGAATGATATTGATACTGAAAATTCTAGAAACTTGAGTCACAGTAAAAAGTTCCTTCTCATAGTCCTGATAGATAGAGGCAAGATTAGCTCTGAGGCAGAGAACTAGATGGCTCACTTGTAAAAATACAATTATTTATAAAAAAAAAGTGAAAAATCTATTAACAGATCAATTAATTAAATTCTTTAGGCATTAACCCAATAATATTCCTAATTTTTTCCAATACAATAGTATTATTACAAATACAATTATCCAAACCATAGGGCGGCATGATTATTAGATGATCGTCGATCTTTAAATAATCACCTATTTCGTCTACATTAATACGCATATTTTGTAGCCATTTTTTCAATCTCAGTTTTTCTTGCACCATATCACTGCTGCTGTGAGTGTCCATTTTCTCTTCTAAATATCCATTTTTCACTTCCTCAGATAAAATTTCCAGAGATTTGATAGCGTGATGGAGTATAAATACTGTATTATGTTTATTAGGGCCGGTTTCCTTAGTGTGAAGCACTATGGTCTTGTAAATAGGGTCTATTACGTAGACTATACCCTCAAAGGATGTTTCTTCAGTTGTGGTTATTTTCACTGATTTTCCTATGAGGTTTTTCATGTATAAAGGGTCGTTTTTGAAGATGTTATCTTCGAAGAGGTCCATTTCACCTTAACTAATGAATTTCTGCTGATACTGGGTAGGTAAACACTTTAACTTAGTGGAAAGATTATGTAATATGTGAAAATTGTTTCAAAGTAGCTCTTAATTTCTGGCCAAATTAAATAATTTATAAAAGTTTGTTTTTTGCCCTTGCATATCTTGTTTTTGTTTACAAAAATTTAAAATTTATTAGAGGTTATGTCCATTGTGCGTCATTCACTGTCACGTCATGTCTCGAAAGGGGCTTTCATTCGTCTTGTTAGTGATAAAACTGGTGTTGTACTAGGCACAAACTGTTCTAATCGAAAAAATTCTATTAAATTTGAATATAAGCCAACAATAATAATAATTATAAATACCGTGGGTAAAAAATGAATCAAAATATTAATGAGAATTGAAAAGGAACTTGTTTTTATCTAAGATTGCACTTTGCACCAGACTTGTGGGAGTTTTAGCAAAAGAATTCGCTATCTCACAGGACCGGACACTGGCGGCTAGACATAGGATCACGATCCAAGGTTGCCAAATCCTCCTTTTATAAAGCGCCAAATTTCAAATAGATTTATATTGCGGATAATGTTACAATATTAATTAAAGGTTAATTTCTGTTATACAACAAATAAAGTCTCGCATGATTAGTAGGTAATAAATTAATCCTATTATAGATATTTATGTTATAAGGATCATAATCACGATCATGATGGTATTAGCCGTGAATATTATCAGACGAGGCGTCAGCCGAGTCTGATGATAACACGGCGTGTGCCATAATGATTGTTTATGATCCAAATTTCATACAATATTTTATATTCCAGAAATTGTAAATAATTTTAATCGTTAAATGTTGTCTTCAATAAATTTTTCATATTTTTGCCTATTAAACCTACCTATATTTTTTTCTCATTATAGTACTTATAATGGGATCTCATTATACTACTTAGTACTCTAATGAAATCGCATTAAATTAAAGTACTCAATCCAATAAATTATGTCATTTTGACACTACAAATGAGATCCATAATAATGTCATTTTATTATTATTATCATTAAAGTCCATGAACTTCACGTCGATGTCGATTATAATTACTTTGAGTCGATAATACTTTATCGCATTCAAAGCAAAACACACCCATTTTGAAATAGTATTCATTCGCATTCGTGCTCTCAAAAAAAATTCGAAACAAATCGTACACAAATCAAAAATACAAGCAATAAGCGAGCTACTGAATACCTACAATATACAATACTATAGCCACCTATAGCTTTGTTTGTTTATTTGCACCAAAGAGATCAATGAAGAAGATAGACTGACAGAGACAGCCAAACTTGGCTCAATGGGGTGGGCGGGCACGCGCATAGCATCGAAATCAATTTGGCAACGTTGGATCGCAGTCCTATGTTTAGCCGCCAGTGGACCGGACCAACACGACAAGACATCATTCATTTCAATGTTGCCAACAAAATAAGAATTAAATTTAAAAAGTAAACAAAAACAAACAAATATAAATAATATTCTATTATTTCTATTAACAAATAATTAGGCTTATAAATAAAATAAATTCAAAATAAGTTATAAATTTCAAACTAAAAAATTCGTTGCACTCAATCGGAATGTATCAAGTATGTTTGTTATATTGGCAGCCTTGAATTTGAGACTTGTACAAAAACTTTCACCATTGCCAAAAGATTCTCTGTGCTTCCCCGTCGTTCCAGGATCGATATTCTTCAATAAGTTTTGCCTCTCCTCGAAAATGGATTCCTTTTCCAAGTTTGGATTGTACAGGAATTTGAAGGAAATTCTAACTGATTTGGAACAGGTAAGCAAAAAATAGTTTGTAATATAATTATAATTCTAGATTATGAAATTCAAAATTAAGCATAAATGGATGCCCATTTTACTGGCACTTTGCACTCCTATCATATTAAGATTATACATTGGTTTTCCAGCAGAACTAGAGGTTTGATTATTGTTAAGTACTTACTTAATTTAATAATCAAAACTAGTCTTGGTGATGATCAGATTTTTTAGATTACTCATCGATATAGACGATATACCATCACAATTCGCGTCACAATACAAGTGGGTGTTTTTCCACCTATAAATTTTTAAATGCACTTATCATTTAAAAAAATTAACTGATAAGTTACATAAATTAAAAGAAAAAGTAGTTACAGATATAAGAATAATGGCCGGTTTATTCACCTTCTGTCTGATAACCTGCCAGGTAATGCAATCTGACACCATAAAAACGCATTTTATATTCATTTTGGTCAGCTGGATAAGTTAATAGTTTAGTGACTTGCAGACAGTCACCAGTTACCATCAGAAGACGAGTAAACTCTGTAAACTGAGCATAAGAAAATCAAATTAAGGATTGGTTTTTCGGATGAACTTGATAGATACATTTATGTTAATATTGGTTTGGATTTAATCTGTAACTGAATTGCGGTCGGACGGAACCCTATTTAACAGCTCACTTTGATACCTTCCTCCTTATTATTATAAAATATTATTCAGTTTCCATCTAAGGCAAATGTGGTGGACGAGGTGGTGGAGGAAAAGTCAAACTTTATGTTTGACTAAAGAATACAAAAATTCAGATGACTCTCCTGTTGGAAAATGGCTAAGGTATTTGTTTGGCTTGATATTTTTAAGCCCGGAAAAAGTAGGTGACACTCTAGTTGAGGACTTGATATCTGTTAAACCTGAAGACCCAGAGAGTATATGAACTATTGGATTATCTTGTGAATGTTATGTCTTTACTATTATTCGAGGTATCCAGGGGGGCCAATAAAACACGTAAGGTAAATGCAGTAGTAATTGACACAATTAGACTCTGTTATGGAATTTAAATGTATCTTTGGGGACCCAGTAATTGACACCAATTATTGACACTCCAGTTATTGACACAATTTTTTTTTTTCTCAGTACATGAGTATATAAAATGAGTAATAATAAGCCATAGCTGTTAGAACTTCATTCATCTGCTCTTTAGAGTAATTTTTTTTGATGTTGTATCAGTAATAAATGAAATTCCAGTAATTGACATCCTGTGTACCAATAACTGACACCGTGGTGTACCAATAATTGACACTCATGTCAATAACTATGGAACCAGTGATTTTTTCAAACTCATATGTTGTCAGATATGTTGTGCTCATAATAAGATGTGATCGTTCTGTCAAATATTGCACTGTTTTGCTGTGATTGTGTTAAATTTGTGGTTATAAGATCCATTCATTGACACATCAGTCAATAATTAGTACATGGTCATAATCACTTGATCCAGTCTTTGACACCCACGCCAATCTCATATAATATGTTTTACTAATAAATACACATTAAAAAACCTTTCAATCATACTTAAACTCTGCCCTCAAACATATGGAATAAATTAAACATAGATACATTTAGCAATAAAAAATAATATTCGATTTGTTTGCCTTAACAAATCTCTTAATTTTTCTCATCCGACAGGTAACCAGCCTTTTCACATTTTAAAATAACTGGCAGATATCAGCTAATTTCTTTCATAGCTGGTAGAGTGTCGCCAAATATTATATTTCTTTTGTTCGAGCGTGAATTTCAACTGGCGAAGGACCACCCTGTGCTCAGGGAAAACAGTGGACTGCAGACGAGCTTCTTAAAATGTTTTATTAAAAAAAAATAATATAAAAAATGCGTGGCAGCGAGCAAATTGACAAACGTATGACAAACTTTTTCTATTTTTTCAAAAAGGTGACGTCTACTTGTTTTTTATTTGCTTGGTTACTTCTGTTTTGTTTTTTCTTCTCCAGCTCTTGATTTTCTTTTTCATTAAATACCTACTAACCGGAACAATATTAATGAATTTTTTTTATTGAGAATGGCTCTGGGACATCGAGTTAGCTTGTTTTAATAACATTTACCTTTAAGTGTCAATTACTGGAGCACTGTCAATCACTGGTGCATTTACCTTATTACGAATAGATTAGATTATTTATTAGATAATTCGCGTTACGATTCTGGGAGCACGTTGTTACCTTGGTTAGCTATAAATTCGACTGTCGTCCTGTCGTCCTGTCTCCTTGTTCCATAGTTCCATGTCATGTGCCTGTGCACAAGTGTGGCTTGCTGTTAAGCCCTGTACACAACACCTCCACACTTAAAATGCACTTACCCCAGTAGATTAATATTCTTACTAACAAGAGGGACAATTATGTAATTGTGATTGACCTCATGCACATCATGTTCACATCCTTACTGGAAATTGCTGAAAATACTTGTCTTAAACGTTCTTCAGTCTCTATTTCATTAGTTGTTCTCATGTGAAATACTTTTACTTTGCTTTTACCCATTTCGAGAATGAGTCGACAAGGAGCATTTCTTGTTTCTAATTTCACAGGAATCTATGTGGATTCTGTCAAATATGTTTGAAGTTTTATTCCAAGGTGTTGCAATGTTTTTAGGAGGGTTTTGTCTTGTTTTTAGACAAGGCAAACATCCCTTAATTATCTTCTCAATGTCACAATTAATATTTGGCCAAAATACAAAAGATCTTGCCAAGTTTTTTTGCATCGAACAATTCCTGGGTGATTTGAATGTAGAAGTTCCAGGATTTCCTTTTTCAATAGTTTGGGGATGACGATTCTATGTCCCCACATCAGGATACCGTTGTCAATATGAAGCTCTGAGCGCCTGTGAAAATATGGCAGCATATTTTCACTGACTTTTACATATTCTGCTATTTGTCTAAGTTCAGGATCTTCCTTTGTCACTTGTCTGATTTTTTCATTGTCTACAGGCCAAGCATCAACAGATTCTGTGAATAATATGTATGATGCTTTTCTGGTCACTTCTTCTGATGTCATTGCGGACTTCAAGGGAGCTCTTGACATATAGTCGGCTACAATGTTTTTACAGCCTTTAATATATTCTATCTAGTAGTTGAAACCTGAAAGAAAAGTTGCCCATCTTTGCAAGTTGCATGCTGACATTTTTGGGATGCTTTTATTTTCGCCAAAAAGGGAAATTAACGGTTTGTGATCCGTTCTTAGAGTAAAAAAGTTAAAACATAAATAATGATAAAGTTTATTAATAGTGAAATAAATAACTAATGCTTCTTTCATGATAGTGCTCATCTTTTTCTCACTAGGCATTAGAGTCCTGGACACGCAAGTTACTGTACGTTCTTCCCCATTTACAATT